GGTTTGTGTTGTGGGAAAATGGGAACCCATCAATTCAACAGAACAGTCATAAAATTTACCTAGAGCAAGTTCTGAAGTTGGTTTACTTGTTCAAAAGTAAGATTTTCTCAAAAGAAGAAGAAAACAAGAAAATCTCACTCACAAAAAAAACTGTTTGTGCTAAAGATAGATGAAGAGATCGGTTGATGCTTACAACGTTACACTCTGTCTTCTCATTCAACAGACATCCCTTCAATAAACAAATCAAGAGTGGCCACTTTTAAAAGCAAAAGCAGCTCCTCCTCTCGTTCTCTCTCTGGTTAAAAGTAAATAAACATGCAATTTGTGTGGCCCCTACATATCTGTCCTCCTCCTGCTGATGAAGAACCAATGGTTCTGGTCTCACTAGGCAACACAGTGCTTTACGTGTGCCTGCGGTGCACCCAAAATGGGAATGTGGGCCCACCATCTCTAGAATCAAAATATAACACCAGGCCAAGTGAATTTGGAACGATCATTTAGAGCATTCACAGTGAGAAAGTGTATACGGGGATGTATGTTAAATATACACTTCAAGTCATTGGAATCGTCTCTAATAGGGAGATGTAAATGGATGTAAACATACATCACCACCATAGGAATGTAAAATAACATGTATATTTACATCTATTTTTACATCCCTTGTAGGTGGGATCCACTCGAGAAAAGAGAAGAAAAATGAAGAAAAGTCAACATAAAAGGTTGGGACTCACGGCTACACCCCCCATTGGAGCAAAAAACATATTTACACCCCCTAGATGTGTAAAGGGGATATAAAAATGGTTTTACACCCCCGAATTTACATTCTCCCACACTGTGGATGCTCTTATACTTTTAGCATATATATATATATATATATATATATGTTGCACATTAGCTGCACGTGGAATGTAGACCCCACAGACTCACAGTGCCCGTTGACTTGATGTTCAAACGTTTCTTTGGACGAATTGCCTATTGTTTTCATGATTATCAATCTCAGATTCTATAGTAAAGTTGATCCAATGGTTATCATTTGTGTTCAAACATAAAGATGATTAAGATGGGAATAGCACCTTATAAAGGCGTTTGCAACTTGACAAAGCAACTTAATTTGAGGGGCATTTTTTTAATAATCCGCACGAGTAAGTTTTCAGTGGTAATATTTCGTTTCTGAGTAAAAGTTAATGTTGTTCATAAACATATGCAAGCTGTAAGCTCATATGTCTTAAATCTTAAAATTAAGTTTACCTCGAAACCTAATTGATTAAGGTAAGTGTGCGCCTCTTACACCTAAATTTGAACATCTTTTTGTACATTAAAATAATTTAAAATATCCATTATCGTGGAAAAAAAGAATTACAAAGAACTGTATCACTTCAAAGTTTGAAGAAAAAAACCCACAAAACCTAGATGGAAATCTGCACTTACAATTATAGCTGCAAAATGTTGCTATGCGATGCATGGCGCTTGAATTTCTCTAATTAAAAATAGATAAAAATGCATGGCAATCATGAATGATAAAATAGAACTGGTTTTGTGTCAAGTAAAGATTCCTAATACGACCTGTCGTTTGTGGCCCCTCCCCCTTCATGTTCACTGACACGCACTTATCTCCCTTGTGGTTGGAACATGCAAGGATGGAATTGATTAAGAACCAGAGGGACTTTGGAGTAATTGTGCACAAATTGTCTTTCACTTGACAAAGATATGGTTCTGCCGTTCCTGTCAATTGGGTCATCTCACATATCTGTCTTCCTTCCTTTGGCTCCATGTCCAGTTCATTTCATGCCTTTAATCACCTCACTCTACCAACCAACCCTTTAATTTCCACCTTTTTTTCTTTTCCATCCCCTGATTAGCAGAATCCATGTCCAATTAACAAATCAAGGAAATTCCCCAGCCAGTTAGGTCTTTGGTCCTCTTGGAGCCAACAGGGAGTCAAACTAGTGGAATTATAAAGAGAAAGTTGACTACAATTGTAATCAAGATCATATGCACTACTAAAAGGAGGGGCTCTAGCTCCCCAAATGAGTAGGTAATTATTGTTCTTTTTTTACCACTTGACTAAGCTTGGCTTGGCTTGGTCTGCTTGAGTGGATTAATATAGCTACTGCTTTTTGAAAAATTTGTACCATCACATGCATGATTTTGTTTCGGGTTCTATTGCTCAAAAGATGAGGACATTGAATAAAATGGGTAGTCTCCCTAACCCCACATTGTCTCCCTACCCTACCTCTCTCTCTCTCTCTCTCTCTCTCTCTCTCTCTATTTTCTTTGAGTACAAGTGATTGAGGGAAGGAGGTTTACACAAATATTCATTGGATGTCTATGGTTTTCGATCCTCTGGCCACATTGGTTCCTTTCTCTTTAATAATAACAAAAGAATTGCTCATTTCTGAATGCATTCCCTACCCACTAGAGTTTTGTACCAAATACAGAGAACTCTGTCATGATATCACTTTCCATGTTGTTCCACCATGCATTGTGTATGATTCTCTCATGGGGCCATCTTCCTCGTCATGTATGTACCTTCAATGCCCTTGCCTTGCCTTGACAATAATTCAAAAGGACAAGAGAACTTCCTCAACTCACTTTGTAAATAAAGTGATACTGGATAGTTTCAAGTCTTTTTTTTTTTTCTTTTGTTATGTTAGAGGAAATCGAACTTCGTATCATAATTCTAACTCATTAATTATCTTGTTCTCCTTTATCATTTGAGCCAGTCCTAAGGGATTGGATTGGTTTAAGATAGTCCAATACTAAAACTTAGTGAAGGTCTTATGAAATCCCCATGATGAGAAGCCCTTTTCTCAGTTAACTTAGAAATCGAACCTAAATGTTGTTGGTTTTGTGAATTATAAAGGCGCCTCAGAGGGCTGTTCATCAAAATGACTTGATTGTCAGTTTCAATTTTAGTGAAAGCACACACCTTTTTGTTATGGCTAAATGGAATAAATTCCTTTTCGAATGGTGCCAACTAAAAGCTTAGGATACCTTCTATCTACGCCATCAACCATCTTTATTTTCCTTTTCTAGTGCACAGATGACTTTACAATTCTCTCCCATTCTTATTAGCCCAAAGAAAATCTCTCTACATTCCTTATACCACCCAAAAAAAGAGTGGAGAAAAACTGAAAGTAAGCTTGCTTTATATATTTTAGAAGGAAGATGCTATGTAGTCTACTCTCTTTTCCATGAGTCTTTCAACTAACACGAGATCAGATTCACACGAGTCCATGAGTTGGGAAATAAAAATCTAAGAGGAAAAAAATATATATACATGTATATTATTAGTATAGCAAAGGTAAATACGAGTTCATTCCCATGAAGATTGAAACCAATATTAAAGAGATGTACTAAATACTTAACTTGTAAAGCAATAAATTATTTTCGAATTCAATGCAAATAAAATAGAACACAAATTGAAAGAGAGGGACATTATTACTGTGAAGACGTCATGTTTTTTTACCATTCCTCTCTACTTTTCACACTGTTTATAATGATGTCCACACGATAATAACGTGTGCACATCCGAATGATAGAATAACTGTATATGTATATATTCATGATTGGAGTGTTGGGGGTATTAAGTTTTGGTTTTAAGTTCCCCAATTCTCTACAAAAAAAACCAAGCAACTTAGTTTGTGAAAAGAAAAATATATATGCACCAGATTTTCTCTGTTCATTTTCAATTCAATCAGTGACAACTTGACAAGTAAGGCAGGCAACAGTGTTTGTGATTTTATCCATACAACTTGATCCTGTTTGTTTGATGGGGTGTCCAAAGGTAGAATCTTTGCCTCTTCAAATGAAGATCACAAAGTTAAAGGCTCTCTCTCTCTCTCTCTCTCTCTCTCTCTCTCTGTTGGCCAGCAAGGCTGTCTGGTTCACACAAACCAAACGTCCAAAGCTAATGCGTAGAACCCACTTTTTCTCAATAATTTGGTTTAACATGTTTTAGAAGGAGAGCATCTGCAATAAGACAAATGTCATTTAGCGCACAGTGAAAATTAGACAAGACTAAAAACAAACCTAACAAAGCTTTTTCCCTAAGAAAACGTTAAAATAAAAAGTTAATCACTTTTTTGCAACCTTATTACCTGGCCGGCTGGCTTCCATACATACATGAAAATTCACAGGGCAATAACAGAACAGAGGCCTCGTCACAAACCGAAAGCTTTAAAAAAGCACCCTGATGACATGACAGATAGAACAATATAGGCCAAGTTGCCTAATCCATCTGCTTCTGCAATAATTGATATTGCAAACAATTTTAACCATTCATACATATAACATACCTCAATTTCTATATCATTTACATTGGACCGACCCCCTTGAGAATTATGAATTATTTGTCTCCCTTGGTCCCTCCCAATATTGGCAACATGCTGTTTCAATTGCTTTTGAGCGGACAGGTTCTGATTAAAGCCTGTGCTATAAAAAGAAAAGAAAAAATGTTAGCACGGGCACAAGGAGGAGCCACAGAGATGAAAGATTTGAAAAGCCAGGCCCAGGACAATAGCTGATCTGCTAGCTCCTGTCTTACATGTACACAGATGAATAAAGCAGCTGTGTTCCCTGAGAAGCTGGACCCTCTTCTCGCTTGCTTCCAGGGACGACCAAACAAGCAAGCAAGCTTATACGAATACAATGACACATTTTCTTATCTATAGATACAAATTACAATACATAATATGTGTTCAGATTCAGATATATAAAAGTTAACAACTTGGTTGTTCCAGAAGAACTTTCAACCTGACATGCACAGCAGAAAAAAAAAACACGGAAATGTTCTATGGGGTTCAAATGTCTTTAGGGCCATACATACTTATACTACTGTGTTGTGTGATTGGGCCTCTGGATCTCTCTTCATGAGAAATGTTCAAGGTGGTTTTTTTGCACTTGCTAATTACTTGTAGTTAATCTTGATGGTCCAATGTGGAAGTATACCAAGGGTCTTGATTTTCTGCAGAGGTGAATGAAAAAAAAAGGGAAAAAAACAAAAAGATTCGATGAAAAAGGAGGGGGAAGGGTTATTCTTCCATTTGCATACCCAGTAAAAGATTATGGGCTTCAAAAGATGAACTTGGTAGGTATGAGTATGACTCATGAGTGCGAAAGAAGAATAAAAGATCATCACATTTTGCCAAATGAATATTTCGATGTCAACAATTTTATTCTTCCCTTTTTGTCAAATTTCCCATATTGTTTTAAAACAACAAATGTGTGAAATTTCCCAAAATTCAGATGGAGATGGAGATGGAGTTGTCAATGTCAAAAGTTGAGGCTGGGCAAGGAGCGGCTCATCTATGTTCCAGAGTTTATGGGACGCGGGCCAAGATTTTTTCATCTTGTTATCTACTGTTAGTCAAAAGTTAGGTAGCTTTAGTTTTCTTGGGATCTAGCAAGCTAAGCTAGCTGGCCCTGCACCTCCAGGCAACCGAAAAACAAAATAAGTTTGGTAGCTTGCCCCGTTTTTTTGACTAACAAACAAGGAGGAAATCGAAAACCACGCAAACGCCATAATGGATGGCGCGCACGCACCGCTCTCGAGGTTTGAACTTTGAAGTTACTTGCCGGGTCCAACACAACAAAAATTAACGTATGGGCCAAAAGAGCCTGACTTTCAATATCCATCTCAACATCCATGCAGTGCAGCCCGGCATAAAGTTCAGAGTGAATAATTTCAAGGGGCATCGAAGCCCAACAACCTCATTTTTGCCATCCATACGATCCAAATGCAGTATTTACCAATTTACAACCCAGTAAACCTTCAAAGAGAGACAACACAGATGAACTAAATGTATGAATTGCCAAGGGGACAGAAACCCATCATCATAATAATCAGAATAAATAGCTAAACATAACCAAGGATGGTTAATAACAGATGTCTGAATCAAACAAACAATAACTAGAGCCCACCAAAGGCTTGTGCTGTATCAAGAGAAACAACACTTTAACATGAATAGAAAAACTGCAGCAACAATAAAAGTAATTGAAGACAATTTTTAGACATGCTCAGGTTTTTACCATTATCAGGCCATTGCTGATAACGGTAATTTATTATTCGTAATCAGAAAATGCCGACCATAATAACTTTATTGTACTTAATCTTCTTCCTCTTCTTCATCTCTCCAGCAGCCTTTAAGAGTTGATCTAGGAGAACCACAGCGCTCGGTCTTGAGGAACCTATTGTAGACAATTGAACCACCCATTCCAAGCTCTTCGTGGGTGCTCTCTTCGCGACAGTATCCCTTCAAATCCACTGAAGATAGTTGCTGGAGTGACTTGGTAGCAACATCAGCGTGCACAGCAATGGAGAACTCCCTCGGTTGGAAACAAGCCAGGACCCTCTCAACCAACTGGTTGATATTCACATCTTTCAGATCATATCCAGCTGTTTCAAAACTTGCATAACTGAAACCATCTTCGGGTGTAACATGAATGGTTGAAATTGCAGCTCCTTCAATGGAATTCATGGAATAACCACAGGGGTCAAACTCGAAATCGCAAATATCAGAATCTGGAAGGATCTTTCGGATACCAGAATCGTTTGTCATTGCAGCTGCAGAGCTTGATTGGGATTTGTAGAACACAGAAGCCTTCTCCCTGTCCAAACCAGTCATGCACATTTCTAGAGTGTAAACAGGGTCAGCTAAGCTTCCTGATTCAGCAGAAGCAGAATACACATGCCATTTCTGAGGTCCATCTGACCGGCCCATCACATACGCCCTGCTTCCTGAACCAAGCTTTCCAAAGTAGCCGTCAAGGACAGAAACTTCTTCTGAGAAGTTACGATGAGGGTATGACTGTGCCCCTGGAAAAATGAAACTTCCGCGAGTGTACTTCACAGCTCTCACAGCAAGGGAAATGGTTTCAGCCAACTTCAGGAGAGGCGGGATCACAAGGAGCAACTTGGTTGTCCCACAAGTTTTGATGATCATCTTGTACGGATAAATAAAGAGGCTTGACTCAGAAAGAACATAGGAGTCCACATGATCATTTGACAATGAAGAGACGATAGTGCATTCAGCTTCGTCAAGAAGGGCATCTATCTGAGCTTTGGCCAGAGATCGAAGACCCCTTCCTTCAGGATCAACGAAGATGCTCGGTTCAAAAAATGATATTTCTAGCCTCTTTTCGAAACCTTCAAATCCAATTGCAGAGACCGCCATGGCCATATCAACAAACAGGAACGATTATAGTTGCAAGAAGACCCAAAAAGCAAACAGAATACAGTCGCAAAGATACTACAGTCGCTAAGAGAGAAGAGAGGAAGATGCTGATCGAAGTAAAGACACAAAAACCAACTAAAGCAATAAAAGTTTATGAACCACGTCTTGTGGTTAGGTTTCCAATCGAGGAATATCAGGATGGTTTGCGAGCGCACTGCACAAGATGGAAGCAGAAAGTTAGCATTTTTCATGTACAATGATTACTTCCACAATTAACCCAGCTAGAGGGAACTCATAACCAAACTCTACGATAAAATGGCAAACCGAAACTTACGTTGGAGTAAGCAGCAGATCTGAACTTCTTGATTCCACCGTTGGGTCGGATGTCTTCGATGCTGTATCCAAGAGGTGCTTCATAGAATAAGGATTTACTACTACTAGAATTCTTTTTACCACCTTTAGACTCCATTAGATCATTCAGTTCTTCCTGTTGACAGCCAACCAAAAAAGATTTCAGTTATCAGAAACAAATAATTAAAAGAATTAGAGTATAGATCTACATGTAGAGAAATGTGGAACAAATCCCAGTAAAGAAATTTTCTCAACATCACAACATGTAGCTTATGAAACAGATTGAGTCTATATGTTCAGAATCCAAATTATTCTTCCACAAACATGCAACATTTTTAGCCCAAATGATTTTTTTTAAAACAATACAAACTATTAGATTAGAACACAAAAAGGACAAAAAATTTCTCGAACATTACTGGTACATGACAAAAAAATCATTCATTTTAGATGGATTTCGTGGACAGATTTAATTAAAATATTTATGAAAATACGAATATATAAAATCATTGTGCAAGTTAAATCACCCTATTTGATGCAACAAAAGGAATTCCAAAACACAAATTTTAATCCAGCCCCAAAAATCCAAACCCTTATAACCCAATCAGTTCTACCGTGGTAAACAAAACATCAGATAAAAATTAAAACTTTAACAAAGAATGATAGCATATGCAGGTTATCAAAGGTTCCTCATTTTCCACACAGACCACATGGACAAATAATCAAATACCCATTGAAATGAAGAAAAGAAACAACAAACATATGAAAAGGAAAAATAATCGAACTTACAAATATGAAAAATTGTTGGGCGTTCTCTTCGAACTATAAGCCAACGGCTTTCGACCTCCCCCGAAACCTCTAGATGGAAATCAATAAGAAAATCGAACGAACCAGGGGACGGCGAGAAAATGCAGATATCAAAAGGGAGGCGGATCAAAAACCCTAGAAAAATTTGATTGTTGCTGTGGCTGTTTTGTTTTTCTGGAAAATGATAGAGGTATGGAGCATATTTATAGAGTACGTGAGACTGCTTTCCAAGTTTACCCCCGCTTAATGGTGAAAAGACGACCATGCCCCTACGCTCTCAAGTCTGGCATGATAGGCTGGCGACGTTGATTCTTGGAAACAGCCGAGCCTTTCAATGATAACTTTTTTTTTTCTTCGGTCAAAACTTTTTTTATTATTCACGGATCATGCATTCTTTCCGTTTCTTTTTAACTTTTTTTAGTTAAAAATAATAATTATCAGTAATCAAAGGTTTTAGGGGCAATAAAATTTCTTAATAGCAAATAATAATAATATTTGAAATATGGAAAGTTTATTTATCTTGGTAATTCAATATTGGAAAGTTGGTAAAGTTGGAAGAAAGTTTTAAAAAGGCATGTAAGCGAAATTTATCGCTGATGTATTATGAGGTTCATATATATATTCACGATGTAGAATTGATAAACCATTCATTTGTCTACTATTTTAGGATTTAATTGTCTACAATTATTACTTTGAATTTTTCTATTGTAGTGGGACTAACCGTTATAATAAATAAAAAGCTAGAGGTTAAGGATTTTAATTTTATTTATTATAAAAATATTGTAATTAAACAAAATTAACTCAAATGCTACAACAAGTGAAGGCTTAACTTTTTAGTCTTTTTACTTTTGGATTGGTGAAATTTTTGGTAGGGTTGGGATTCGAGTATGAATAGAATAAGGGAAAACGACAAAGACAGACAGAATCAGATTCGCGTGGGAGGGCTGAAACGGCAGAGAGGCCTATCTCTACATTTAGATTTGTGGGGGCACTTTTTCGCGATAAGATTGGTGCGCGGTGAGGGCTGTTTTAAACACAGCCACAAACCTTCTGACACGTGTTCGACCTGTGTGGCTGTAACTTTTTCGTTTTTTTCGTGTTTTTTTTTTTTCTCCTCTAATTAGCTAACTTGGTTTTCTGTCCACCCGTTCCACTACTCTTTGTCGTGCATGGGCAACTTGTCAATTATTGTAAATTTTATGCCTCCCTTATTTTCCTGCAATGATTAACAGAAAAAGAAACCTAATAATTTCAACAGCCACCGGATTTTAAGCATTTTCCTTGTAATTTCAACAACTTTATATATATGTTATAGAAGTGTGGCAAACATATGGAAAGTATGAATCACAATAATTTTGCTAGTTTTTAGTTTTTTGCAGCTCATAAAAATACATATAAAAACTAAAGTAAATAGCACAAAGTAAAGTTTTTCAACTTGACTTTCAGGCTAGTGATTTTACGTTTGAAATTCCGTAATAACATGGTAGTGTGTGTTCCTGTCTCTTTCTAGTTTAGAGTATCTTTGTACTAACGAAAAAACACATCTACTTTGTTCTGAAGAGTTTGTTGCTCAAACAATCAATAATTTTTATTTATGCGCTTGAAGTTATGTGCGAATATAATTGTCGATATATTTGTAAATAAATAAAACCAAGAAGTTTGTGGAAGGGCAATTAGACCAAATCCCTTCGTAATTGGATTCCTACTCACCACGATTCACAAGATTTTAAGATGCCATGCCGAAATTTCAACACTACCTTTGCTAGGATTCGGGAACATATAGCATATTATATGTGTAAAGAACATCTAGCCCGTTTTCTTTATTTGCTTTTTGTGATTAAGAAACCAAAAAGAGGGGAGCCAAATGAGAGCGTGGAGTATTTAACAACGTTATCTGTGACATGGAGATGTGCCCTTTGGGGCCGCCGCCCTTGCGATTAGTCAATCAATCCCTATTCCTTAAGATATTCCTTGCTCCTTGATGAAGAAATTGAATTAAATTAAGTATCGGCCTGCCATTCATGTTCAACACTATTGGCACTGTGTAAGTATTGGGCTTCATCAGCATCACTTGGATCTGGAAAGAAACGTGGGATAAGTTCTAACGCACTAAATTAATTCTTGTATCTTATGGACTATTTGCAACGAATGAAAGAATCTGAATATGTTCATTTGGCCAAATCATCTTATTTTTGTCAAACAAAGCGTATGAGAAATCTCAGATATATTCAGATTATATTCTTCTCCAATATGAAGGTATTTATAAAGAAGTATAAAGATGTGTTAGTTCTGAATACAATTTTATTAACTTAAATTAAAGTTTAACAAGCATGTTAAATGTTAAATGTGCATGCATGGCTTATAATAAGGCTTCAGACACCTCTCTATGGCAACTGATTGCATATTTATTTGAATATAGAGTTGTATTACGGTCAATCACTCATACGTACATGAGTGGTTTCTTTATTATTATTATTTTTTGTTGAGAAAATATGAAATTATATTCATAAATCACTAACCACAATGAATCAATACAAACTAACCTTAAAAGACAAATACAAACTAGCCATAAAAAACCATTATAATATCGAAACGATCTAACATCAAAATTAAGACAATTATAAGGGTTGATGAGTTTTTGAATATATTGCCCAGCTACTAGTGCCTATATTGAATATCGAGTCATAAAGACTTCTAATGCTTAAACGCTCTTTAATACTGTTGTTAATAAAAATGAATTATCCGAGAATCAAGGCCCCTCCATGATTAGTAATAATATTATTCTCAAGTAAGTATGGAGATGAGACATTGGTGAGCTGTGAGGCACTTGAAAAGCTCCAATAAAAAATGAAAATGAGGTCAGCTATTGAAAGATTTTTTGATAATCATAACCCAATTATAGTCCGGATGGCTTTTGAGTTAGGAGAAAGGAAGCAGCAAAAATGGGCTGAGGCTAATCAGCAACAAATAATAAAGCTTGGCAGCTTGGATACTCAAGATTGAGGAGTTTCAATTTAAAAAGCCATGCCATGCTCATAATTTATTGTATACGAAGTACTTCACCAAAGCAATTTAATTTGTTTAGCATTTTAATATGGTCTGCAATCTAACGTGTTGGACCTCTCTTATCTCTTCATCTAATTGTTGGGCTTTGAGGCTTAATTTGGCCCATATGCAATCCTCTTCTTGTTGGGGGGCTGAGCTCTTTTTTGTTACATGATCAATAAAATCAGAGGAAAATTAATGAAATCAGTGCAATTGCTCTGTTTGACCAAAAAATAAACAAGGGCAACGTAAAGTGCATAAGGTTGGCGTGCAACTAGCATGTCTAACTTCCTACCGATCCTTGATTTTGTGTGATGCTAACTAATTAAGGTGTTGTAACAACTTGTTAGTCCCTCTTTCCTTCCTTTTCCGAGCCAATTTTTTTTGGGAATGGAGCGGGAGAGAGGAAGAGGTCAGGTCAACACAAATGCCCTGATTAGATTTTTGGCTTGCGAGAGAACTCATTCAATTTCGGATAAAATTGAAAGTTGGATCAGGTTGAGAAAGGCAGACAAGCACGCGTTGGGCCCTAGCAGCTTGCTTCTTCTGGCCCGATCGTGGTTTGCGTAGGCATGCCACTATTAGGGATAAGACCAACCCTATAGACCTGGTATATGTGATGTAGAATGTTTTGTTTGATGGACGTGTGCTTATTCTAGACCTCTAATCAAGCCATTATTCTCCAAATCGGGTACTGGCTCGGATAAGTTCTTTTCTATGCCTCAATTAAGAGGATTTCAATATTCTTTCAATCATGTGTCTAAGGCTTGGAAAGTACGAACAGTACCTAACCAAACAGAAAAACAGATGTTGTGGTCAATGCTCCATTGATTGGGCTCGAATACCTAATTTGGGCCCGAGATAACCCCGAACTGGGTTAGGACTGAGTTAATTCGGGTATGAACAAACCCTTGTTCTCAGGTTGATAAAGCCCTGTTCGGATGTAGAACCCTTATCTTAGGCATGTCCAGTAATAAACAGTTATAACAAAAGATTCAAATATAAAAATGCGGGAAAGTAAATTACTAGAAAGTAAAATATGAAAAAGATAAATGGCAAGAATGTAAAGTGCGATCAAGGTAAATTGCAAAGAGAATAAAGTTCCATAAGCTGGAGATTTCTCTATCTAGCTTCGGCATGATAACAAGTTAAAACGAAAGCCAAAGATTTCTCCATTTAGCTGTTTTTAAAAGAACAAGTTACAATATTAAGGAGATTGAATATTTATGTTATCCAATCTCTATAAGTTTTAGCTGTTTAGAAGAAAACTAGATTGACTTTTTAAACAAGAATCATACCATGAAGATGGCAAAGCAATAAAAGATAAACATAGGAGTTGTCAATTATTTATTTGGGCAGCAAATTGGCTATTTGAAAATCTTGAAGTTTGTTCAAGTGTTTATAAGACGTTACATCTGATTTTGGAGAGATAATCCTCGAATGTTGCTGTTGAGCTTTTATATTTATAGGCAGAAATTTTGAATCGATGACGGTAAAGGCTGAAGGACAATACTCGAGTGTTGTCCAAGTTTAGCTGTAGATTTGTCCTCGTGAGTCGATCCATAGGTGGGAGAAGAGGTCTCTCAAATACAAATACTGGTTTCAAGGGATATCCCTTTGATTTGTCGTCTTTTCGCCGCTGGAAAACCAATTGGAAGACCGCT